CAGACAGACGGACAGAGGGACAGACAGATGGACAGACAGAGGGACAGACAGACAGAGGGACAGACAGATAGAGGGACAGACGGACAGACAGACAGACAGAGGGACAGACGGAGGGACAGACAGACAGAGGGACAGACAGACGGACAGACAGACAGACAGAGAGAGGGACAGACAGACAGACGGACAGAGGGACAGACAGACGGACAGACAGACAGAGGGACAGATGGACAGACAGAGGGACAGACGGACAGACAGACAAACAGAGGGACAGATGGACAGACAGAGGGACAGACGGACAGACAGACAGAGGGACAGACGGACAGACAGAGGGACAGATGGACAGACAGAGGGACAGACGGACAGACTGACAGAGAGACAGACAGACAGACGGAGGGACAGACAGACAGACAGACAGACGGACAGACAGACGGACAGACAGACAGAGGGACAGACAGACAGACAGACAGACAGACGGACAGACAGACGGACAGACGGACAGAGGGACAGACGGACAGACGGACAGAGGGACAGACGGACAGACAGACAGACAGAGAGAGGGACAGACAGACAGACGGACAGAGGGACAGACAGACGGACAGACAGAGGGACAGACAGATGGACAGACAGACAGAGGGACAGATGGACAGACAGACGGACAGACAGACAAACAGAGGGACAGACGGACAGACAGAGGGACAGACGGACAGACAGACAGAGGGACAGACGGACAGACAGAGGGACAGATGGACAGACAGAGGGACAGACGGACAGACTGACAGAGAGACAGACAGACAGACGGAGGGACAGACAGACAGAGGGACAGACAGACGGACAGACAGACAGAGGGACAGACGGACAGACAGACAGAGGGACAGACGGACAGACAGAGGGACAGACGGACAGACGGACAGAGGGACAGACGGACAGACAGACAGACAGAGGGACAGACGGACAGACAGAGGGACAGACGGACAGACTGACAGAGGGACAGACGGACAGACAGACGGACAGACAGACAGACCAAGGATGGATGGATGACCAAGACAGGATGGACAGACGGACGGACAGAGAGACAGGAGAAGCAGATGGACAGCCAGGTGGACAGACAGACAGACAGACCGAGCGGAGACGGACGGATGGACAGACAGACACACAGCGTCCCCCTGCTCCAGGATTCACGCCCTCTGACCCCGTCCTCCCCCCTCCCCCAGGTCATCTGGGCTGTGGTGTTGGCGCCCGGCCAGGCCGAGCAAGAGGAGCACCCAGCACCCAGCACCCTGATACTGAGCACTGAGCACCCAGCACCCAGCACTGAGCACCCAGCACCCTGATACTGAGCACACAGCACCCAGCACTGAGGACCCAGCACCAAGCACTGAGCACCCAGCACCCTGATACTGAGCACCCAGCACCCAGCACTGAGCACCCAGCACCCTGATACTGAGCACACAGCACCCAGCACTGAGGACCCAGCACCAAGCACTGAGCACCCAGCACCCTGATACTGAGCACCCAGCACCCAGCACTGAGGACCCAGCACCAAGCACTGAGGACCTAGCACCAAGCACTGAGCACCCAGCACCCTGATACTGAGCACCCAGCACTGAGGACCCAGCACTGAGCACCCAGCACCCAGTACTGAGTACCCAGCACCCTGATACTGTGCACCCAGCACCCTGATACTGAGCACCCAGCACTGAGCACCCCGCAGTGTGCATGGAGCACTGAGCACCCAGCAGTGTGCTTGGAGCACTGAGCACCCAGCACCCAGCAGTGAACACTGAGCACTGAACACTGAGCACCCAGCAGTGTGCATAGAGCACTGAGCTCCCAGCACTGAGCACCCAGCAGTGTGCATGGAGCACCCAGCACCCAGCACCCAGCTCCAGGCAGGTGCTGGGGCCTTGGTCTCTGTCTGGGCCGGGGTTGGGGGGTGCTGGGCCTCGCTCGCTCGCTCTGACTCGTTCTCGCCCCCCCCCGTCCACCCTCGGGCAGGAAGCGTTGCCGTGGCGCCCGGCAGGAAGCCGAGGCCGCAGGCCCGACCCCGGCCGACCCCGCCCAGAGCCACTTCCTGCCCAGCTGCGGCCAGAGAGGCCTGGGGGGAGGGGACGGACGGACGGACGGACGGACGGAGACAGAGAGAGAGACAGAGGGACAGACAGACAGACAGAGGGACAGACAGACAGACAGACAGACAGAGACACAGACAGAAGGACAGACAGACAGACAGACAGACAGAAGGACAGACAGAGGGACAGACAGACAGAGAGACAGAGAGACAGACAGACACAGACAGACAGAGGGACAGACAGACAGACTGACAGAGGGACAGACAGACAGAGGGACAGAGAGACAGACAGACAGCCAGACAGACAGACACAGACACAGACGGACACAGACAGACAGACACAGACAGACAGACACAGACAGACAGACACAGACAGACACAGACACAGACAGACACAGACAGACACAGACAGACAGACAGACACAGACAGACACAGACAGACACAGACAGACACAGACAGACAGACACAGACAGACAGACACAGACAGACACAGACAGACACAGACAGACACAGACAGACACAGACAGACACAGACAGACACAGACAGACAGACACAGACAGACAGACACAGACAGACAGACACAGACAGACACAGACAGACAGACACAGACAGACAGACACAGACAGACAGACAGACAGACACAGACAGACAGACAGACACAGACAGAGAGACAGACAGACACAGACAGACAGACACAGACAGACAGAGGGACAGACAGACACAGACAGACAGACAGACAGACAGACAGACACAGACAGACACAGACACAGACAGACACAGACAGACAGACAGACACAGACAGACAGACACAGACAGACAGACACAGACAGACAGACAGACACAGACAGACAGACAGACAGAGGGACAGACAGACACAGACAGACAGACACAAACAGACAGACAGACACAGACAGACAGACAGACAGACACAGACAGACAGACAGACAGACAGACAGACAGACGGACAGACAGACACAGACAGACACAGACACAGACAGACACAGACAGACAGACAGACACAGACAGACACAGACAGACAGACAGACACAGACAGACAGACAGACAGAGGGACAGACAGACAGACAGACAGACAGACAGATACACAGACGGACAGACAGACAGATGGACAGACAGACAGACAGAGGGACAGACACAGACAGACAGACAGACAGACAGACAGACACAGACAGACAGACACAGACACAGACAGACACAGACAGACACAGACAGACACAGACAGACAGACAGAGACATAATGGGGAATATCCTGGAGTGTTCTAGCGTGTTCCGGAATGTTCTGGAATGTTCTGGGGTATACCATAGTCTGCTGTGGTGTGTTCCGCTCTACAGTATACTATTCTGGAGTAGTCTGGCCTGTTCTGGAGTGTTCTATACTATTCTGGAGAATGGTGCAGTGTTCTGGAACGTTCTATAGAATTCTGGAGTGTTCTAGAATGTTCTGAAGCACCCTATAGTATTCTGTAGGGCGTTGTGGAGTACAGTACAGCACTCTGGAGTGTTCTGGAATATTCTATAGTGTTCTGGCGTGTTCTATAGTTTTCTGGAGTGTTCTAGAATGTTCTGAAGCACCCTATGGTATGCTGTAGGGCGTTGTGGAGTACAGTACAGCATTCTGGAGTCTTCTGGAATATTCTACAGTGTTCTGGAGTCTTCTGGCATGTTCAGGAGTACCCTACAGTACTGTGGGGTATCCTGGAACATTCTAGAACGTTCTGGAGAGTTCTGCCCTCGCCTGGCGTCTCCTCTCCTGGGACAGTCCTGCACTGGGTCGTGGCAGAATGTTCAGGAACCTTCCAGAACCCTTGTGGAGTTTTCCAGAAGGTTCTGGAACCCAGCCCTAGCACATTCTGGGGGGGAGGGGGGGGGTGGGCCTGAGCTGTGATTGACAGGGGGGCGGGACGGTGCCAGGGAGCCGCCCTGTGATTGGTGGGGGGGGCTGTGATTGACAGGGGGGCGGGACTGTGTCCCAGAAGCCGCCCTGTGATTGGTGGGGGGGCTGTGATTGACAGGGGGGCGGGACTGTGTCCCAGAAGCCGCCCTGTGATTGGTGGGGGGGCTGTGATTGACAGGGGGGCGGGACTGTGCCAGGGAGCCGCCCTGTGATTGGTGGGGGGGGCTGTGATTGACAGGGGGGCGGGACTGTGTCCCAGAAGCCGCCCTGTGATTGGTGGGGGGGGCTGTGATTGACAGGGGGGCGGGACTGTGCCAGGGAGCCGCCCTGTGATTGGTGGGGGGGGCTGTGATTGACAGGGGGGCGGGACTGTGTCCCAGAAGCCGCCCTGTGATTGGTGGGGGGGGCTGTGATTGACAGGGGGGCGGGACTGTGTCCCAGAAGCCGCCCTGTGATTGGTGGAGGGGGCTGTGATTGACAGGAGGGCGGGACTGTGCCAGAGAGAGGCCCTGTGATTGACAGGGGGGCGGGAGTGTGCCAGGGAGCCGCCCTGTGATTGGTGGAGGGAACCTGTGATTGACAGGGGGGCGGGACGGTGCCAGGGAGCCGCCCTGTGATTGGTGGAGGGGGCTGTGATTGACAGGGGGGCGGGACGGTGCCAGGGAGCTGCCCTGTGATTGGTGGGGGGGTTCAGGCCTGTGCCAGGAGCTGCGCTGTGATTGACAGGGGGGCGGGACGGTGCCAGGGAGCCGCCCTGTGATTGACAGGGGGGCGGGACTGTGCCAGGGAGCCGCCCTGTGATTGGTGGGGGGGCGGGGCGGGCCCCCCTCCCTCCCTCCCCCCCGCCCCTCGGGGCTCAGGCACCGGAAGTCGCCCCGCCCCGAGCCAGGCGCGGCTTCCTGTGCGCCCGCCGCAGGCGTCCGGGGCGGGGCCCGCAGCTGCTCGTAAAAGGCGGCCCCGGGGGCGGCTGGGGCTCAGGGCGCCTGCGCAGTGCGGAGAGGACGGCAGGGGGGACCCCGAGACCCCGCGCATGCGCACGCGCGCCATGGCCGCCCCGCGCCTCCCGCCGCTGCTGCTGCTGCTGCTGCTGCTGCGGCCCGAGCGCGCGACCCCGACGCCGACCCCGACGCCGGCCCCGACGCAGGGCGACGCAGGTGCGCGCGCGGGCCGGAAGTGGGCGCCGGGAGGGGGCTGACCGGAAGTGGGTGCTGCGGGGGGTGTGCTGACCGGAAGTGGGTGCTGGGAGGAGGGTGCTGACCGGAAGTGGGCGCTGGGAGGGGTGTGGAAACCGGAAGTGGGTGCTGGGAGGGGTGTGGAGACCGGAAGTGGGTGCTGGGAGGAGGGTGGTGACCGGAAGTGGGTGCTGCGGGGGGTGTGCTGACCGGAAGTGGGTGCTGCGGGGGGTGTGGAGACCGGAAGTGGGCGCTGGGAGGGGTGTGCTGACCGGAAGTGGGCGCTGGGATGAGTCCTGAAACCGGAAGTGGGCGGTGGGATGAGTCCCGACACCGGAAGTGGGTGCTGGGATGGGTCGTCACACCGGAAGTGGGCGCTGGGATGAGTCCTGACACCGGAAGTGGGTGCTGGGATGAGTCCTCAGACCGGAAGTGGGTGCTGGGATGAGTCCTGAAACCGGAAGTGGGCGCTGGGAGGGGTCCTCACACCGGAAGTGGGTGCCGGGCCGAGTCCTGACACCGGAAGTGGGGTCTGGGATGACTGTTCTGACCGGAAGTGGGTGCTGGGGTGAGTCCTGTCACCGGAAGTGGGTGCTGGGGTGAGTCCTGTCACCGGAAGTGGGTGCCGGGCCAGTCCTGAAACCGGAAGTGGGTGCTGGGATGACTGTTGTGACCGGAAGTGGGTGCTGCGGTGAGTCCCCCCGCCGGAAGTGGGTGTCGTGACCCACCGGAAGTGGGTGCGGGGGCCCGCCCGCCCCTGACTTCCGGCCCCCCCTCCCCCCCCGCAGGCCCCGCGTTCCGGAACCTGCGCGTGGACCCCGCGGCGCGGCTGCTGACGTGGGACGGGCCCGAGGCGCGCGTGCGCTGCCTGCGCGGGGACGGGTTCGCGCAGCCGGTGAGCGCCGCCACGCACGCCACGCCAGGCCCCGCCCACAGCCCCAGGCCACGCCCCTAAGGGCTTCATAGATCCGCCAGGCCACGCCCACTGCGCCAGGCCCCGCCCACAGCGCCGGGCCCCGCCCACGAGGGCTTCAGGAAGAGGCTAGGCCCCGCCCACAACTCGGGCCACGCCCACGAGGGCTTCGCGGAGCCGCCAGGCCACGCCCACAAGCCCTAGACGCCAGGCCACGCCCCTAACGGCAGCGCACCGAGGCCAGGCCACGCCCACAAACGTCCCCAGCGAAGGCCACGCCCCCTCTCGCCCCGTGCTCCCTGCCAGGCCACGCCCCCTCTCGCCCCACTGTCCCTGCTAGGCCACGCCCCTCTCGCGCCTCTCACTCCCTTGTAGGCCACGCCCCCTCTCGCCCCACTGTCCCTGCTAGGCCACGCCCCCTCTCGCCCCACTCTCCCTGCTAAGCCACGCCCCCTGTCGTCCGTTCTCCCTGCTAGGCCACGCCCCCTCTCGCGCCTCTCACTCCCTTCTAGGCCACGCCCCCTCTCGCCCCTCTCACTCCCTTCTAGGCCACGCCCCCTCTCGCCCGTCTCACTCCCTTCTAGGCCACGCCCCGTCTCCACTGTAGGCCACGCCCCCTCTAGCCCCACTCTCCCTGCTAGGCCACGCCCCCTCTCGCCCCACTGTCCCTGCCAGGCCACGCCCCCTCTCGCCCCACTGTCCCTCGTAGGCCACGCCCCCTCTCGTTCCGTGCTCCCTGCTAGGCCACGCCCCCTCTCGCCCCTCTCACTCCCTTCTAGGCCACGCCCTTTCTCTCCCGCGTGGCCACGCCCCCTCTCGCCCCTCTCTCTCACAGTAGGCCACGCCCCCTCCCGCCCGTCTCACTCCCTTCTAGGCCACGCCCCCTCTCGCCCGTCTCACTCCCTTCTAGGCCACGCCCCCTTTCGCCCCTCTCACTCCCTTATACGCCACGCCCCCTCTCGCCCGTCTCGCTCCCTTCTAGGCCACGCCCCCTAGTCTCCACACGCTTCTATTCGGTCTCAGTAGGCCCCGCCCCGTCCCCGCACTTGGCCACGCCCCCTCTCGCCCCTCTCACTCCTTTGTAAGCCACGCCCTCTCTCTCCCGCGTGGCCACGCCCCCTCTCGCCCCTCTCTCTCACTCTAGGCCACGCCCCCTCCCGCCCCTCTCACTCCCTTCTAGGCCACGCCCCCTCTCGCCCCTCTCTCACTCTAGGCCACGCCCCCTCTCGCCCCTCTCACTCCCTTCTAGGCCACGCCCCCAGCTGTCACTGTAGGCCACGCCCCCTCTCGCCCCTCTCTCACTCTAGGCCACGCCCCCTCTCGCCCCTCTCACTCCCTTCTAGGCCACGCCCCCCGTTTCTCCCGCGTGGCCACGTCCCCTCTCGCTCCTCTCACTCCCTTCTAGGCCACGCCCCCTCTCGCCCCTCTCTCCCTCGTAGGCCACGCCCCCTCTCGCCCCTCTCGCTCCCTTCTAGGCCACGCCCCGGCTCTCACTGTAGGCCACGCCCCCTCTCGCCCCACTCTCCCTGCTAGGCCACGCCCCCTCTCGCCCCTCTCTCTCACTGTAGGCCACACCCCCTCTCGCCCCTCTCTCTCCCTCTAGGCCCCGCCCCCGCCGCCCTCTCGCTCCCATTGGCCGCGCCCGTCCTCGCGCTAGGCCACGCCCCCTCTCGCGCCTCTCTCTCACGCTAGGCCACGCCCCCTCTCGCCCCTCTCTCTCCCGCTAGGCCACGCCCCCTCTCGCCCCTCTCTCTCCCGCTAGGCCCCGCCCCCGCCGCCCTCCCGCTCCCATTGGCCGCGCCCGTCCCCGCGCTAGGCCACGCCCCCTCTCGCCCCTCTCTCTCCCGCTAGGCCCCGCCCCCGGCCCCGTCCCGCCCCCATTGGCCGCGCGCGGCCCCGCCCCGCGCTGAGCCCCGCCCCCGCCCCCGCGCAGGCGCAGAGCGGCCGCCGCTGCGCCTTCCGCTTCGTGTCGCGCTGCGCCGCCACGCGCTTCTCGGTGCTGCGCGTCGCCGCCGCCGCCACTTCCGCTTCCGCCGCCGCCGCTTCCGCCTCCGTGCTGTTCCCGCCGCCAGGTGAGCGCGCGCGCCCCGGGGGTCACGCGGGGTCACGCGGGGTCACGCTGACGTCCCCCCCCCCCCCGCAGACGCCGCCGCCGCCGCCGCCCGCCGCGCGCGGCCTGCGCTGCTGGCTGCACCACGCCGCGCGCCTCAGCTGCGCCTGGAGCCCCGCCCGCGCCGCCCCGCGCGGCGCCCAGTACCTCCTGCGCTGGCGCGACGACGGGTACCCGCGCGGGCGGGCCGCTTCCGGGGGGGCGGGGGCACTTCCGGTGGGAAGGGGGGGCACTTCCGGTGGGAAGTAGGGGGCACTTCCGGTGGGGCGGGGGGGCACTTCCGGTCTGGCCCGGCCCCACACTTCACTTCCGGTCGGGTCTATGGAAACCTTCCACTTCCGGTCTGACCCATCCCCACCCTCCACTTCCGGTCTGGCCCATCCTCAACCCCACTTCCGGTCTGACCCATCCCCACCCTCCACTTCCGGTTCCATCGATGTTGGCTCTCCACTTCCGGTCTGAACCATTCCCTACACTCCACTTCCGGTTCTGAGATTTCCCACCCTCCACTTCCGGTCTGGCCCATCCTCAACCCCACTTCCGGTCTGACCCATCCCCACCCTCCACTTCCGGTTCCATCGATGTTGGCTCTCCACTTCCGGTCTGAACCATTCCCTACACTCCACTTCCGGTTCTGAGATTTCCCACCCTCCACTTCCGGTCTGGCCCATCCTCAACCCCACTTCCGGTCTGACGCATTCCCCATCCCCACTTCCGGTCTGACCCATCTTCACACCCACTTCCGGTCTGGTCCTTTCTCCACCCCCACTTCCGGCCTGACCCATTCTCCACCCGCACTTCCGGTCATCCCTATTCCCCATCCCCACTTCCGGTCATCCCCATTCCCCACCCCACTTCCGGTCTGACCCATTCCCCACCCCACTTCCGGTCTGACCTGTCCTCCATCCCATCTCCACTTCCGGTCATCCCCATTCCCCACCCCACTTCCGGTCATCCCCACTCCCCACCCCCCACTTCCGCCCCGCCCGCCCTCACTTCCGGCGCCGCAGGTCCCCGCGGCGCGGCGCGTGCCCCGCGTACGTCACGGACGCGCTGGGGCGTCACACGCGCTGCGTCTTCGAGGACGTCGCGGCGCTGCCCGAGCGCTTCGTGGCCACCGTCGTCACGTCCGGCCCCCGGAGCCCCGCCCCCGGCGCTCGACGCGCATGCGCGGCCCTGCGCCGACCTGCACGTCGTCCCGCGCCTCCTCGAGGGTGAGCTTCCGGTCCCGGGGGGGGGGAAGGGGCGGGGCCCGGGGCGCCCAGACACCCAGACCGGAAGTCCCGCCCCTACGCACGCAGAGACGCTGAGCCCGCCCCACGTCAACGTGACCTGCAACGTCACGGAGGCCGTGCTGGCATGGACCCCGCGCAGCGCCTTCCCCGGGCGCTTCAAGTTCCGTCTGCGCATGCGCAAGGTGCGTGGCCACGCCCCCCGGGGAAGGAGGAGCCACGCCCACGCTGTCCTAGCCACGCCCACCGCCGCCTGGGCCCGCCTGACCACGCCCACGCTGTCCAAGCCACGCCCACCGCGCGCTGGGTGAGCCAGGCCACGCCCACTAGTGGCTCAGAGTAAGCCACGCCCACCAGCATCTCAGACTAAGCCACGCCCATGTGCTCATCCACTCCATAAGCCACGCCCACAACGCGCTCGTCCATCCACTAGGCCACGCCCACAACGCACTCATCCGTCCACTAAGCCACGCCCACAATGCGCTCGTCCATCCACTAGGCCACGCCCACAAGGCGCTCGTCCATCCACTAGGCCACGCCCACAAGGCGCTCGTCTATCCAGTAAGCCACGCCCACAATGCGCTCACCCATCTACTAAGCCACGCCCACAAGGCGCTCGTCCATCCACTAAGCCACGCCCACTATGAGCTCATCCATCCACTAAGCCACGCCCACAACGCACTCATCCGTCCACTAAGCCACGCCCACAATCCGCTCGTCCGTCCACTAAGCCACGCCCACAATGCGCTCATCCATCCACTAGGCCACGCCCACAACGCGCTCATCCATCCACTAGGCCACGCCCACAATGCGCCGTCCATCCAGTAAGCCACGCCCACAATGCGCTCACCCATCTACTAAGCCACGCCCACAGTGCGCTCATCCATCCACTAAGCCACGCCCACAACGCGCTCGTCCATCCACTAAGCCACGCCCACAGTGCGCTCACCCATCTAAGCCACGCCCACCACATCCTAAACCATCCCAGCCCACGCCCACGCCTCCTAGGCCACGCCCACCACGTGCCTGCCCTCGCTAAGCCACGCCCCCTCGCTTACGGACGCCCCAGGCCACACCCGCAGCGTAGCCACGCCCTCCCCGCCAGCCCCGCCCACCGTGACTCAGCGTTTCTCTGCGCTGCGCCCGGGGGCGGTGGGCGTGGCCTCGCGCCTGTGGGCGGTGGGCGTGGCCTGGGCGGGCTGGGCCTGTGGCGGGCGCTGTGGGCGTGGCCTGGGCGGGCTGGGCGTGGCCTGGGCGGGCTGGGCGTGGCCTGGGCGGGCTGGGCGTGGCCTGGGCGCGCTGGGCGTGGCCTGGGCGGGCTGGGCGTGGCCTGGGCGGGCTGGGCCTGTGGCGGGCGCGCTGGGCGTGGCCTGGGCGCGCTGGGCGTGGCCTGGGCGCGCTGGGCGGGGCCAGGGCGGGCTGGGCGGGGCCTGGGCGGGCTGGGCGTGGCCTGGGCGGGCTGGGCGTGGCCTGGGCGGGCTGGGCGTGGCCTGGGGCGGGCTGGGCGTGGCCTGGGGCGGGCTGGGCGTGGCCTGGGCGGGCTGGGCGGGGCCTGTGGCGGGCGCTGTGGGCGTGGCCTGGGCGGGCTGGGCGTGGCCTGGGGCGGGCTGGGCGTGGCCTGGGCGCTGTGGGCGGGGCCGGGGCGGGTCCATCCGGGTCTCACCGCGCTTCCTCTCCTCCCAGGAGCCCGCGGACGCGTCCGAGGATCTGGAGGTAACGAGGGGTGGTGACGTCACGGGTGACGTCACGGCGTGGAGGGGGGGATGGGCGGGGAAAGGAATCCCCCCGGGGGGGACCCCGCCCACCGCCCTTTCCACATCCCATAATAGACCCGGATACATCCCAGCGTTGTGCACCTCCATCCCATAATAGATACATCCCAGCGTAGTACATCTACATCCCATAATATGCACGGACACATCCCATCATAGACAGATACATCCCATAATAGATACATCCCATCGTAGTGCACCTCCATCCCATAATAGACACGGACACATCCCATCGTACACAGATACATCCCATAATACACATTGACATAGTCTGCATCCCATAATATACACAGACACATCCCATCATAGTGCACCTCCATCCCATAATAGACACATCCCATCGTTGTATATCTACATCCCATAATAGACACACACATCCCAGCGTAGTTCACCTCCATCCCATAATAGATACATCCCATCGTAGTGCGCCTACATCCCATAATACACACATCCCATCGTAGTACAGCTACATCCCATAATATACACGGACACATCCCATCATAGACAGATACATCCCATAATAGACAGATACATCCCATCGTAGTGCACCTCCATCCCATAATAGACAGATACATCCCATCATAGTTCCTAGTGATTATACATCCCATAATAGACATTGACATAGTCTGCATCCCATAATATTCCAATCACTGATTATACATCCCATAATATACACGTACATCCCATCGTAGTGCACCTCCATCCCATAATATACACGGACACATCCCATCGTACACAGATACATCCCATAATAGACACATCCCAGCGTAGTACATCTACATCCCATAATAGACACGGACACATCCCATCATAGACACATACATCCCATAATACACATTGACATAGTCTGCATCCCATAATATACACAGACACATCCCATCGTAGTGCACCTCCATCCCATAATAGACACATCCCATCGTTGTATATCTACATCCCATAATAGACAGACACATCCCAGCGTAGTTCACCTCCATCCCATAATAGACACATCCCATCGTAGTGCACCTCCATCCCATAATATGCACGGACACATCCCATCGTACACAGATACATCCCATAATAGTAGTGCACCTCCATCCCATAATATACAGACACATCCCATCGTAGTTCACCTCCATCCCATAATAGATACATCCCATCGTAGTGCGCCTACATCCCATAATACACACATCCCATCGTAGTTCACCTCCATCCCATAATAGATACATCCCATCGTAGTGCACCTCCATCCCATAATAGACAGACGCATCCCATCCTAGTTCACCTGCATCCCATAATATGCACCGATACATCCCATAATAGACAGATACATCCCATCATGGTTCACCTACATCCCATAATATACAGACACATCCCATTGTAGTGCACCTACATCCCATAATAGACACATACATCCCATCGTAGTGCACCTACATCCCATAATATACACCGATGCATCCCATCATAGTTCATGTAGCGATTTATTGTGATACATCCCATAATAGACATTGGCATAGTCTGCATCCCATAATATTCCAGACAGTGATGACACATCCCATAATATACACTGACATCCCATCGTTGTATATCTACATCCCATAATATACACGAATACATCCCATCATAGTGCACCTACATCCCATAATAGACACATCCCATCGTTGTATACCTACATCCCATAATAGATACATCCCATCGTGGTTCACCGACATCCCATAATATACACATACATCCCAACATAGTTCACCGACATCCCATAATATACACATACATCCCATCATAGTTCACCTACATCCCATAATATACAGACACATCCCATCGTAGTTCACCGACAGCCCATAATATACACATACATCCCATAATATGCACCGATACATCCCATCATAGTTCATACAGGGATTTATTGTGATACATCCCATAATAGACATTGGCATAGTCTGCATCCCATAATGTTCCATACAGTAATTATATATCCCATAATAGACACCGATACATCCCATCATAGTTCACAGTGATTGTACATCCCATAATAGACACCGATCCATCCGATAATACTCCATATAGTGATTTATTATTACACATCCCATAATAGACATTGGCGTAGGATGCATCCCATAATAGGCCCTGGACCCGGCCTCCATCCCATAATAGGCCCTGGACCTGGCCTCCATCCCATAATAGGCCGTCGACCTGGCCTCCATCCCATAATAGCTCCTCCCCTCCGGCCTCCATCCCATAATAGATCCTCGGTGTAGCCTCCATCCCATAATAGGCCCTGGACCCGGCCTCCATCCCATAATAGGCCCTGGACCTGGCCTCCATCCCATAATAGATCCTCGGTGTAGCCTCCATCCCATAATAGGCCCTGGATGTGGCCTCCATCCCATAATAGGTCTTCAGCATGGCCTCCATCCCATAATAGGTCCACAGTGTAGGCTCCATCCCATAATAGCCCCTGGACCCGGCCTCCATCCCATAATAGCCCCTAGCCCCAGCCTCCATCCCATAATAGCCTCTGGCCCCGGCCTCCATCCCATAATAGCCCCTGGCCCCGGCCTCCATCCCATAATAGCCCCTGGCCCCGGCCTCCATCCCATAATAGCCCCTGGCCCCGGCCTCCATCCCATAATAGCCCCTGGCCCCGGCCTCCATCCCATAATAGCCCCTGGCCCCGGCCTCCATCCCATAATAGCCCCTGGCCCCGGCCTCCATCCCATAATAGCCCCTGGCCCCGGCCTCCATCCCATAATAGCCCCTGGCCCCGGCCTCCATCCCATAATAGCCCCTGGCCCCGGCCTCCATCCCATAATAGCCCCTGGCCCCGGCCTCCATCCCATAATAGCCCCTGGCCCCGGCCTCCATCCCATAATAGCCCCTGGCCCCGGCCTCCATCCCATAATAGCCCCTGGCCCCGGCCTCCATCCCATAATAGCTCCTGGTCGCCCGGGCGACCCCCCGGGGGGTCAGGGGTCACGGTTAGGGGAGGGGGGGTGGAGCTGACCCCTGACCCCCGTGACCTCCGCCCCCCCCGTGTCTTGCAGGCCGCGGAGCCCGAGGAGGTGAGCGCCTGCCTCAGTTTCCCCTCCTGCCCCGGGGGGCCCGGGCGGGGGCGGGGGGGGTGGAGGTCAAGGGTCAGGGGGTCAGAGAGGCCCAAAGGGGTCGCAGGACACAGCGGGCCTGACCCCTGACCCCCGACCCCCCCCCCCCTCCGTGTGGCCCAGACGGACGCGAACTCCTACACCATCCGCAACCCCCCGCGCGCCTTCTCCCTGCAGCTGGGCATGCGCAGAGCGCTGCAGGCCTGGGGCGCCTGGGGCCCCGCCCAGCGCGTCGGTGAGGCGCGCGCATGCGCCGCGGGGGGGGGCGTGGCCAGCGGCCCCGGGGCGCTGACCACGCCCCCCCGGCGTCCCCACGCAGCGTGCGTCCCCGCGTCGCCCCCCGCCGCGCCGCCGTGGCTGCCGGCCGCGCTGGGCATGCTGGGAGCCGCGGGCGCCGCGCTGGCGGCGCTGCGCTTCCGCCGGAAGTACGTGCCAACGGGGGGGGGGGGGGGGTTGGTCCCGCCCCCTTGGATGCGCCCCACCGGAAGTCCCGCCCCAGCGCGCTGTGCCCCGCCCCCAGGCTCTGCCCGCGCGTGCCTGAACCCCGACCCCTGACCCCTGACCCCGACGTCACCCCGACGCTGGCCCAGGAGGAGGAGTGCCCCGTGACCCCGCTGCGCGAGGAGGAGGAGGACGCGTGACCCCGGAAGTGGACGGGAGGGTCAATAAACACAGCTGTCACTCAAGGCGACTCACTTCCGGCGGCGGGGAGGGGCGCCAGGGCGCGGGAACCTACTGCGCATGCGCCAGGGGGCGCCAAGGCCCGCCCCCCCGTCCGTCCATCCGGGTTCCCGCGCGCTCATTGGCTGAGCGAGGACTCCAGGCCACGCCCACCGCGCCTGCAGGCTCCAGCGCGTCCTTAGGCCACGCCCACACGGGTTCCCGCGCGCTCATTGGCTGAGCGAGGACTCCAGGCCACGCCCACCGCGCCTGCAGGCTCCAGGGCGCCCTTAGGCCACGCCCACACGGGTTCCTCCACGCTCATTGGCTGAGCGAGGACTCCAGGCCACGCCCACCAAGCCTGCAGGGTCCAGTGTGTCCTTAGGCCACGCCCACACGGGTTCCCGCGCGCTCATTGGCTGAGCGTGGAGCCCAGGCCACGCCCACCCCCCCTGCAGGGTCCAGGGCGTCCTGAGGCCACGCCCACACGGGTTCCCGCGCGCTCATTGGCTGAGCGAGGACTCCAGGCCACGCCCACCGCGCCTGCAGGCTCCAGGGCTTCCTTAGGCCACGCCCATCCGGTTTCCTCCACGTTCATTGGCTGAGCGAGGACTCCAGGCCACGCCCACCTCGCCTGCAGGGTCTAGTGTGTCCTTAGGCCACGCCCATCCGGTTTCCTCCACGTTCATTGGCTGAGCGTGGACTCCAGGCCACGCCCACCGCCCCTGCAGGCTCCAATGTGTCCCTTAGGCCACGCCCACACGGGTTCCCGCGCGCTCATTGGCTGAGCGAGGACTCCAGGCCATGCCCACCGCGCCTGCAGGCTCCAGGGCGTCCTGAGGCCACGCCCACACGGGTTCCCGCGCGCTCATTGGCTGAGCGAGGACTCCATGCCACGCCCACCGCGCCTGCAGGCTCCAGCGTATCCCTTAGGCCACGCCCATCCGGTTTCCTCCACGTTCATTGGCTGAGCGAGGATCCAGGCCACGCCCACCGCGCCTGCAGGCTCCAGGGCGCCCTTAGGCCACGCCCACACAGGTTCCTCCACGCTCCTTGGCTGAGCGTCTCCAGGCCACGCCCCCCTGGCAGGTCCCGCCCCTTTCCCCTCTCCCGCCGTGCCCATTGGCTGTCCCGCCCGCCCCTCGGCCTTTCCCGTTCGCTCATTGGCTGAGCGTCTCCCCACACTCTCCCACGCCCCCCAGAATGGGTTTTTCTTAGGGGTGAGTGGACATGGGGACCTGCTCCCCTCCCTTCCCCTTTAACCCTTGACCTCGGCTGACCTCACCCCCCCACAGCCCTACACCTTGAGGAGGTGGAGGCCCAGGATTCGAGGCCCAGGGTTGGAGGCCCAAGAATAGAGGTTCAAAAATGGAGGCCCAGGATTGGAGGTCCAAGAATAGAGGCCCAGGGAAAATGGAGGCCCAAGAACGGAGGCCCAGGATTGGATGCCCAGGAATGGAGGCTGAGGGCTAGAGGCCTAGTTCAGGGTGGAGGCCCTAGGGGCCGAGGCCTACATGCAGGATTGAAGCCTTAGGGGGTGGGTGGAGGCCCAGGGATTGGAGATCCAGGATTGGAGTCCCAAGAATGGAGGCTCAGGATTAGAGGTCCAGGATTGGAGGCCCCCAGAATGGAGACCCAGAATTGAAGGCCCAGGAATAGAGGCTGAAAAATGGAGGCCCAGGGATTGGAGGCCCAGGGATTGGAGGCCCAGGATTAGAGGCCCAAGAACGGAGGCCCAGGAATGGAAGGCCCAGGAATAGAGGCTCAAAAATGGAGACCCAGGGATTGGAGGCCCCAGCATGGAGGCTCAGGCATCGAGGCCCCCCCAGAATGGAGGCCCCGGGTGGGAGGCCTCCAGGATTGGGAGCCCATGACTGGAGGCCCAGGATTAGAGGCCTAAGAATCGAGGGTCAAAAATGGAGGTCCAAGAGTAGAGGCCCAGCCATGGAGGCCCAGGGTTGGAGGCCCAAAAACCGAGGCTCTAAATGGAGGCCCAACATTGGAGGCCCGTGACTGGAGGCCCCAGAATGGAGGCTCAGGCATCGAGGCCCCAGAATGGAGCCCCAGGAATCGAGGCCCAACATTGGAGGCCCCAGAATGGAGGCTCAGGAATCGAGGCCCCAGAATGGAGGCTCAAAAGTGGAGGCCCATGATTGGAGGCTCCAGGAATGGAGGCCCAGGGTTGGAGGCCCAGAATCAGAGGCCCAAGAATGGAGGCCCAGGGTTGGAGGCCCGGAACTAGAGGCCCAGGAATGGAGGCCCAGGGTTGGAGGCCCAGAATCAGAGGCCCCAGGAATGGAGGCTCAAAAGTGGAGGCCCAGAACTAGAGGCCCAAGAATGGAGGCTCAAACGTGGAGGCTCAGGATTGGAGGCCCCGGCGTTTATTCCTCCGCGGCCTCCACCAGCAGCAGCAGCGCGGGGCCTGCGACAGAGAGACCCGGATGCACAGAGGCCCGGATGCACAGGAGGGCGGGGGAGGCGCGCGGGGAGGGGCGTGGCTTCCACACAGCCCGTCACGGCGCGCGGGGGCGTGGCCTGGCGGGGCTCTCACCTCCCACGTGACTCGCGCGCGCCGTCTGCCGCTCATCCGGGTCCTCCGCGGCCTAGGGGGAAGAGGGAGGCGCGGGGAGGAGGGCGTGGCCGCGCTGAGGGGCGTGGCCTGGCGCTGGGGGCGTGGCCTGGGCTCTGGGCGGGGCTGTGGGGGCGTGGCCTGGCGCTGGGGGCGTGGCTTGGCGTCTGAGCGGGTCTGTGGGGGCGTGGCCTGGCGCTGGGGGCGTGGCCTGGCCTCTGGGCGGGTCTGTGGGGCGTGGCCTGGCGCTGGGGGCGTGGCCTGGGCTCTGAGCGGGTCTGTGGGGCGTGGCCTGGCGCTGGGGGCGTGGCCTGGGCTCTGAGCGGTGCTGTGGGGGCGTGGCCTGGCGCTGGGGGCGTGGCCTGGGCTCTGAGCGGTGCTGTGGGGGGCGTGGCCTGGCGCTGGGGGCGTGGCCTACTGTCTGCGCAGAGCCGTTGGGGGCGTGGCCTGGCCTCTGACTGGTGCTGTGGGGGCGTGGCCTGGCGCTGGGGGCGTGGCCTGGGCTCTGAGCGGGTCTGTGGGGGCGTGGCCTGGCTGGGGGCGTGGCCTGGACTCTGAGTGGAGCTCTAGGGGCGTGGCCTGGCGCTGGGGGCGTGGCCTGGCCTCTGAGCGGGTCTGTGGGGGCGTGGCCTGGCGCTGGGGGCGTGGCCTGGGCTCTGAGCGGGTCTGTGGGGGCGTGGTCTGGCGCTGGGGGCGTGGCCTGGGCTCTGAGCGGGTCTGTGGGGGCGTGGTCTGGCGTTGGGGCGTGGCCTGGCCTCTGAGCGGTGCTGTGGGGCGTGGTCTGGCGTTGGGGGCGTGGCCTGGGCTCTGAGTGGAGCTCTGGGGGCGTGGCCTGGTGCTGGGGGCGTGGCCTGGGCTCTGAGCGGTGCTCTGGGGGCGTGGCCTGGCGCTGGGGGCGTGGCCTGGCGCTGGGGGCGTGGCCTGGCGCTGGGGGCGTGGCCTGGCCTCTGAGTGGAGCTCTGGGGGCGTGGCCTGGCGCTGGGGGCGTGGCCTACTGTCTGCGCAGAGCCGTTGGGGGCGTGGCCTGGCCTCTGACTGGTGCTGTGGGGGCGTGGCCTGGCGCTGGGGGCGTGGCCTGGGCTCTGAGCGGGTCTGTGGGGGCGTGGGGCAGCTGGGGGCGTGGCCTGGCGCTGGGGGCGTGGTCTAGCCTGGTCTAGTATCCTCAGGGGGCGTGGCCTGGGCTCTGAGCGGGTCTGTGGGGGCGTGGCCTGGCGCTGGGGGCGTGGCCTGGCCTCTGAGCGGTGCTGTGGGGCGTGGCCTGGCGCTGGGGGCGTGGCCTGGGCTCTGAGCGGGTCTGTGGGGCGTGGCCTGGCGCTGGGGGCGTGGCCTGGCCTCTGAGCGGGTCTGTGGGGCGTGGCCTGGCGCTGGGGGCGTGGCCTGGCCTCTGAGCGGGTCTGTGGGGGCGTGGGGCAGCTGGGGGCGTGGCCTGGCCTTGGGGGCGTGGCCTACTGTCTGCGCAGAGCCGTTGGGGGCGTGGCTTGGCCTCTGAGCGGGTGTGTGGGGGGCGTGGGGCAGCTGGGGGCGTGGCCTGGCGCTGGGGGCGTGGCCTAGGGTCTGCGCAGAGCCGTTGGGGGCGTGGCCTGGGCTCTGAGCGGGTCTGTGGGGGCGTGGGGCAGCTGGGGGCGTGGCCTGGCGCTGGGGGCGTGGCCTAGGGTCTGCGAGGAGCCCTTGGAGGGCGTGGCCTGGCCCCCTTCTGTGTGGGCGTGGCCTGGCCCGCGCCTGGGGGCTGGAAAGTGGAGGCCCGAAAGTGGAGGCCTGGAAATGGAGGTTGACAATGTGGAGGCTGGAAAACGAAGGCCCAGAGAATGGAGTCCGAGAATAGAGGCTCCAACATGGAGGATGGGGGGGGGGGAAAAAAGGAGGTTTGAAAGTGGAGGCCGGGGAATGGAGGCTGGAAAAGAAAGAAGCTGGGGAAATGGAGGTGGAAACATGCAGGCCGAGAGAGAACGGAGATTGGAAAACGGAGGCTGGAAAAATGAAGGTTCGGACATGGAGGCTGCAAGATGGAACTTGGGAAAAGGAGGCCCAGGGAACGGAGGCCCAGGGTGACAGACAGTGGAGGCCCAGAAAGTTGAAGGCTACAAAGTGGAGGCCCAAGGAATGGAGACCAAAGAACAGAGGCCAGAAAGTGGAGGCCCAGGGAATGGAGACCAGACAATGGAGGCCCAGGGAATGGAGGCCAGAAAGTGGAGGCCCAGAGAATCAAGAACACAGAATGGAGGCCCAGAGGGTGGAGGCCCAGGGGTGGAGACCACACAATGGAGGCCAGAGAGTGGAGGCTAGAAAGTGGAGGCCCAGGGAATGGAGACCAGACAATGGAGGCCCAGAGAATCAAGAACACAGAATGGAGGCCCAGAGGGTGGAGGCCCAGGGGTGGAGACCACACAATGGAGGCCAGAGAGTGGAGGCTAGAAAGTGGAGGCCCAGGGAATGGAGGCCGCGGAATGGAGGCCCAGG